CAGGGGTTTTTGTTTGTTTGTGTTTCCTCCTAGGGCCTTAGAGTTTACTTCTAAGACTCCTTACAGCAGTTTTCTAAAAGTTGCATCCATTGATCAAATATTTATGGAGCATCTGCTATGTGAATTCAGAAATGAATGACACGCTCCCTTTCCTCTTGCACACAATACGGAGTCCCTCGTCCAATAGACAGAAAGAACCAGACCTACTCACCTTGTCCTACTGTGGGAGTAATATTTGAACTTTGCAACAACCCTAGAGTAGACATTCTTAGCTCGTTAGAGGTGAAGAAATAGACTCAAAGAGGTAAAATCACTCACCCAAGAGGTTCCTTGGCTAGTAAGTAGAATCCATCCAACCCCACTTTGCAATAATTCCTTCATATATGGCATCTGAGATGAGGTGGTGGCTTGTGTCAGTCTGTTAGAACAGATATTGGCAAACTGAATCATATGGTCCAGCACAGTTTTATTGAAACAGCCACACCCATTTGCTGACATATTTTCTTTGAATGCTTTCCCACTGCAGCAGCAACGGTGGGGCTGAGCAGCTGTGATAGTGATCTCAAAGCTCACAGAGACAAAAAGCTTTGCTATCAGGCATGCTACAGAAAAGATTTGCCAGCTCCCTCCCAGAACATTACCAGCATATATTTGTGAGAGTAATGTAAGCTCCAGTAACAAAACTTACAACCTTGGTGGCGTAACACAAATTTTTTTTTTAAGTTTATTTCTCAATCACGCAATATCTCAGCCAGGGTGTTCTGGGCAGAGGCAGGGCTGGGGTAAGGCTCTGCTCCTAGGACCCAAGCTGATCACTGATCTGAGGCAGTGGCAGCAAACTCATTAGTCAACAGAGTGGCAAACTGCGGCTCATGAGCCACATGTGGCTCGAGAGTTGCAGTTTGCGGACCACTGGCCACTTAGGGCAGAAACATCTAGGCAGCAGACAAGGTGAAAAGAGAGAGATCATGCACAGGACACTGTTATGGGTTAGATATGTAAATGACATGCATCACTTCCACCTACATTCTAGTTGCCAGAACCCAGTCACATGGCTATATCTAAATGCATAGAATACTGGCAAATATAGTTTATCAATATGTCCAGGACGAAGAGAAAACAAGTTTTGGTGAACACATAACAGCCTCCACCAAAATCCCTGTTAATCACTTTATACCCTCCCCCCCAAAAAAAATAGTCTCTAGTTTTGACTTCTCAAAACTGTTTTAAAGCTCATATTCAGTAGGCATGTGTTTAATTTTAAAACATTTTTATGTGTTTAAATTTGTTCTCATTGAACCTGGGGAAGTTCACCTTTACCTTTTGAGATACAAGTGAAATTATATGATGTCATAGAATTGCTTCAAAATAATCTCAGAGGGAGGAAGTGTATGATAATATAGATGAGACAAGATTGGCCTTGAGTTTTTTTGAAGCTGAGATATGGGTCTGTAATAATTGATTATATTATTCTCTTTACTTTTGTATGTATTTAAAAGCATAATGTATATTATAAAAAGTTGTATTTTAAAGATTGTACTCACACTACTCTTTGCTGCCCTGCAATTGATTTTGGGGGAGGAGGGGAGTAAAAACAATGAAATCCTCATTCTAAGGTTCTCTTCAATGATATTTACTACAGGTGTTGTGGTGTGTTAATTATTTTTACTTTCTCCACATATTCCAGTCAAATAGCTTGTCTGCAAGATTAAGGGGCCGCTCGTCAATAATAAGAGACAAAACCTATGAGGGAATAGTACAGTCAAATGACAGAAGAGTTAATATTTGTAGGTCAGCCACTTATAGTAGGAACACTCTCAAGAGAATTCATTCATCAAGTAGGGTCTAAATAAAGACCACAGTCATTACATTCATTAAACAAACAGTGATTGAGCAACTACCAGATGGAAAGCCTTGTGCTCAGGTCTAGAAATATGTTAATGATAAGGCAGGTGTCCCTGTGTGAACATGTGCTACTTGTCAGGACTGGTGATACGGTACTAGCTGCCAAAGCCAACATCCCAAAATCACAGTGCCTTGAACAACAAAGTTTTATTTCTCACCACGCAAGCGTAAGTGAAGGCATTCCTCGTCCAGTCATTCTCTTTTGAATCATAGCTCAGAGAATAGGGCTCCTTACACCTCAGAGTCCTTCACCAGATAGAAAGATAAGAGGAAGTTGTGTGTAGATGGTCACTCAGGATGTTTCGTGGCCAGATGTAGAAGAAGGACCAGAATTCTTCACCATCCCACCTAAACTCAAGTGTTGCTGAAAAAAATGTTTCTTTAGCTTCAAACCCGGGAAGAAGAAACTGGATACCTGAAAGGTGGAGGGTGGGGTGTGGGTGGGAGATAGGCTCTGACACGTTCCACATGATCCCGGTTTGGTAGGAAGACAGACATACAATCAGACTTTTTACTAGGCAGTAAGATCAATAATAAAGACATAAGGACGGTGCCGTTGGAACATTGAAGGAGGTAGGATCTTTAAGACGTTCATCAGCTATTGGTAACATTTCATAAATATACTTGAAACTTAATTTGTTTAGGCTTTGAAACGTGTCATTCTTTTCCCACAAAAATTGTAAGCCTGTGCTCCCCATCTCCTCAAAAGCAGAGCCCGGCTGGCCAACTGGTTTGACAGTCCAGGCACAGAGCATGGGCTTTTACAGATACTAGTTATGGGTGCTTACTAGAACGTAAACTCACCTGGAATTTGGATCTCACAGCGTGAAAGGGTTTTAAGAGCAGTCACCCGTGCATTTGTTCAACATTTTACAAAGACGTCTGTCCCCAAAAATCAATTTAACAATTTTTACAACATCTGACAAAGACTTTGATCTCCAACTCTCCCTTTACAAATTTATAAGAATTTACACTCATTGCGAGAATTTCTTTCCAGAGGGTTTTTTTTTTTAAAGTTATTTTTCCTTAGGATCCAACAATGTTAACTTGAGATGGGAGGAGAGGCAGTTGAGGTTCACATGTGGGGACTGTGTGTGATGAAAACGCAGGACACAGCAGTGCCAGGATTCTAATTTAGAACAGCCTGCCTCGGGCAATAGGAAAGTCATTTGTCCCTGCGCGCCACTTCACAATCTGGCACTCAGGGGCTAGAGCCAGCCCTCAGCTCTGCCTAGTTTGCCTTCTTAATTTATATATTCCATCCATGTGCTGACTCTCCCGCCCCGCCCCCTCTAAGTGATTCTAATTAAAAAACACGCTGGAGGATCCTTGTGGGATCCGAAAGCGGCTGGGACCTTCTCTTTGATCTCCCATCTGAACCACGGATAGTCTATTGTTTCATCTTATCCCCCAGCGCTCCAGTTGACAATTATTGGCATTTTAGAGCCTGGAGATTGCAATAAGTTGCCTCACAGGACTGGCCGCCTAAAAAATCCAAAGCAAGCACTCCCTCCAAACATCCCTCCTCCCCCTCCAAAAACAAATACTGAAAAGGAAAATAAATTTCGTGCTTAATAAGCAGCTGCCAATTTATTAACAAGATGCTAGAACTGGTTAGAATTTTAAAGATGATGAAGGCATCTTTAAAGTGGCAACAAGCCCTTCCTTCCCTGGACATGCATAAACCCAACCAGCACTCCATACCTTAACCACTGCTATTTAAGTTCTGCAAAAATGCCACCTCCCGGGACCGTGGAACTTTTGTAATGTTGAAGGTGTTTCTTGTCTTCATTTGGGTAAGACTTGGCTGAGGTGTCTTGCGCTTAAAGATGTTCATAAAATCAGTTAAAGTCGTTGAAAGGTGGCTGAATTAAGAATATTTCCTTCATTTGGGGCACAGGGAGCAAGAGGGCAGAATCCGGGCGGAGTGGGGGAAAGTCAAACGGGCCAGAAAGGTTTGTTTATTTATTTTAATATCTGTCACCAAGGGAGCACGCAGAGGACCTGGGTGCGAGATGGGCTTGGAACTTTGCGAAATGCTTGTGCGAGAATGCCAGGATGGAGGGCTCCTCCGCGTGCGGGAAAGGAAAGGGCTGGGCGTGCCGAGGCGCCGAGGGGAGGAGGAAACCCGGCGGGAGGCGGGGGGGGGGGCAGTATAAAAGGCACCGGGCGTGCGGAGCGCCAGCCACTCCGAGCCGCTTCTGGAAGGCTGGAGCCACGGCAATACCCGGAGGGAGAGAAACGCGCGGTGCCACTGCAGCGATCTGAGCCCACCACCGAGGGACCCAGTTTGTTCCTGCATCATTGGAGGAGAGGAACCCGCGCCCTCCGCCTGACCCAAGCCCCTCCACTCGCCAGCTACCCCTGCGAGGCATGAGCGACGCGCGGGAGCCCGGGGCTGCAGAGCGGTCATGAGGCGGCGGCCCGGGAACGGCGGCGGTGCGTCTGCAGCCCCCAGGTCCCCTCCGGGCGCGGCGCCTCCGGGATGAGCCCCCGGACCTGCGGCTGCCAGAGCTGAGCTTCACCCGCAGTGCCCACCTCGGTTCTGCGCGCGGGAGCCTCCAGCCCGGCCCCGGCAAGCAGCTCCCCGCCGCGACACCTGCGCGCTGGACCGGACCTACGCCCGCCCAGCCAAGCCGGATCGTCGCCCTACCCAGGCTCTGCGGAGAGACGCGGGTGCAGGAGCAGCTGTGCATAGGAGGCGGGCGGCCCACCGGCCCGGAGCGAGTGTCAGGATCTTTCTGGAACGACTCTGCCACCCCCCTCATAGGCGCGCCAGCTTCAGGCGGGGCGCACAGTTGCAGACAGACACCTGGCTGGCCCTGCGTCCCCTCGGTCCTCCATCACCACAACTCCAACTCCACTTTGTCAATAAAGGTTTCCAAATCCGCTCCGGCACCCCCACCCACCCACCCACAGCCCCGAGCTGCAGTGCGCATAGGGCTGTGCCCTCGAGGGCCACCGCCACTCAGGCAGAGGTGGCGCCCGCTTGGCACATCCCGGCAGTTGGACGCGGACCCCGGAAGGGCGCCCAGGTCCCTTCCAAATACTGACAATCCCCGTGTCCCCGGGCCCCCGTTTGAAGCCAGTTCACCCTAGCACTCCGCGGCCCCGTAGTAGCCCGGGCAGCAGGGGAGGTTGCTTGTCGGGTGAGTGGCTCCGGGCGGGGGAGCCCAGCGTGGAGGTAACTCCGGGCCGCCGCCACTGAAGCCCTCCTCCTCCTTCTCCTCCTCCTCCTCCTCCTTCTCCTCCTCCTCCTCCTCCTCCCCGCGCTCCTCTGGCGGCCGCTCCAGCTCCAGCAGCGGCGCCGCGGCCACATCTGGGGCGCCCATGTGCGCTCGGGGGCTTGGCTGCGTCCGCCCCGCCGCCGCCGCCCCCGCTGCCCCCTGTTCGCAGGGCGGTCCCCGGCCCGGCCTGGGTCCCGGGCAGCTCCCCGTCCCCGCCGCCGCTGCAGGGAAGCTCCGGAGTGTGCTCCGCAGCCGGCTTGGACGCCCCCGGCCCCGCCGTGGCTCCGCCGTGGTGCGGCTGCGGCGGCGGCGGCGGCGGCGGCGGCTCCTGCTCCCCGGGCCCGGCGCGCCCCGCCGTGCCCAGCGCTGGCCCCGCGGGCCCGGGGAGCGGGGCTCCGGCGGCGGGGGCCGAGGCTGGAGCTGCGCTGCCCGGCTCGGGAGCTCCGGCTCCTCCTCCCCCGGCGCCACCGCCGCCGCCGCCGCCCGCCGCGCCGGGTCCTAAAGCCGCGCGTCTCAAGAGGATGGTGCGCCTGGCGGCCGAGCTGCTGCTGCTGCTGGGGCTGCTGCTGCTCACGCTGCACATCACGGTGCTGCGCGGCACCGGGGCCGCCGACCGGCCGGACGCCGTCTCGGGCAACGCCAGCGGGACCCAGCGGCAGGTGAGTGCAGCCGGCGCGGGGCGCGTGGCTGAGGGGACCTGTGGCTGGGCGCCGGGCTCGCGCTCGATGGATGCGAGGAGGCGGTTCTCCGCCCCACCCCACTCGGGAGCAACTGTTTTGGCAGCCGTTTTGCCGGGGCCACCCGTCTCAGGCTGAGGCGGAGCGGGAGTGCGTGTTGGGAGGCTGGACCTGGCGTGCAGATCGGTCGGACGCGCTCCCCCAGGTCTGCCGCGGGTCAGGCATCAGGGGCGCGCGAGGCGTGCAGAGGGCAGAGGAAGTGTGGAGCATGGGCGTGTTTGCTTTGGGGGGCCGCCAGGCTTCCGTGGCCCTGTAGAGGCCAAGTACTGTTACTCTGGGAGGGGAGAAGGGCGGAGGTTGCGGAAAGAGACTTTATAGGATAATATCCCTGAACGAGAGCCCTGGGGAGTCTGCCTCTTCTGAGAGCAAGACCAATGCCAAAGGTGAGGGGATAATTTCCCCGCGGAGAGTGGCCAGGCATCCTCTCTGCGCCCGCGCGGTCCATGTGGGTGCCTCCGATGTCCCGCGTGGGCCTCACGGAGGCTCCCTCCCCAGTGCGGTCCCTGCCAAGGGCAGGGCGCGAAGTCCAGGCACCTGCCGTGCTTTGGAATGGAGTTACTCAGGGTTTTAAACTTATAGCAAAGACTTCTTCCTAGCTCTCTGCCCCTTGAGAAGGGGATTGTAACGAAGATCGAGTTTAGCTAAGAGCCCAGGGAGGGGTGGGGGAGTCTCGACGGGGTGGGGTGAGTTGGGGGCGAAGTCATATAAAAGGTGAGTTTTGGTTTCCTAATAAAGGATTGCCCAGGTAAGGATTGCCTGCTGCTACCTTGGAAAGCGCTTCTCCTTGGGATGTGACAACTGTCAACTCGGAGGCATGGGTAAAAGTCAGCAGGGATTTCCTCAGAAAGTAGAGGGATGTCTCTGGCTTCTAAACATCTCCTCCTCCAGTTAGCCCTTCTAAAGCTCTTTGCTGTCTAAGGCCATACCACCTGCAATGTCCAGATAAGTGTTGTTTCCAAAGGACTTTACAATCGTCTCTTAGTCAGTGTTTGCCTCTTGATGTGCTTTGTTGCGGAAAAGTTTACTGTTAGAGAGAGAATTCGCATCTTTAAAACAGTGCTTACAGTGCTACCCTTTTAAGTGCTTTACAAAAATCTAACTGATTTGATGAAGTACTGTATTTTACTATCTCCCCTTTACAGAACACACACACCAAAAATAAATAAATATATAAACAAACAAACAAACAAACAAATAATGAGGTTCAGAGCGGTTAAGAAATGTGCCAAAGCTCACACATTCCAAACTCTTGATGAATTACACCCCGTTTTCTCTCTGCCGGGGTGTCATAGACTAAAGCAAGGTGACCCTTGTACACAGGCAACACCAGGAATGGGAAAGTATTCACCTCAGAGCCTGAAGTCTTCTTAATTTGGGGGCCTTTCTGAAAACGTCCTAACTTTGTGGGATCCATTCGCCTTCTCCTATGTGCAAACAGGCACAGGGACACACTGATGGGCTTCCTTTAGGGGAAATGGAAGATACTGCCATTCTATGGACTGTGGCACACCCACCCATCATGTAGGAATCATTCTTAATATCTTCAAGATTTCTGGGAGTCCTATTTTATACCTTATGCTTTCTTTCGCGTGGCCTCCCGAAAAGCTGCAAAAGTGATGTTCCATGGAAAAGTAAATCTGGCAGGTTTTTTAATGAGGTGCTTGCTATCATTAGAAGAGCCTGGAGCCGACCCTTTGCTGCCTAAACAGTAAGGTAATGAGAGAAGCAGCTGGTGGAAGTGGCAACTGCAAAGGGGAAGTGGATTACATTCTCCAAAGCGCCTTTGGCTGAAGGATTGCCCCCAGAGAGCGGAAGAACCGGAGTATTTAGAAAGAGCAATGCCCCTGGGAAATGTTTGCTGATATTCCAGCTTCAGTTTACCTTGTAGTATGTTCGGTTATTCTGTCCACTCAATGCACGTATCCAGACAGAATGATGAGTTTAACAGTTTGGTTCATAATTGTACCCTCCTTTGTAATTTGTTAGTATAAAAGTTTTATAGTCTTCCTGACTAAAGCCGTTTCATTGGCCCTCTGATTCCCCAAAGGCATTCTGATTCAAGTGGAGAATGTATGTTCCATCAAGTAAGGAGTTCTGCAAAAGACATCGAGTAGCCTGTTGTATTCTGGCCCTAGGAAGTAAAGGCACTAGGAGCAGGTGTATTTGAAAATAAAACTGCGGGTGATGTATTCTTTCTGCTTACTGGACATTTTTAACCTGCCTTCAATCCTTGTATTGGCTCTGTGTGATCTTAAGCTGCTAACCTCATTCTTTGTAATTGGAAAATGTATCTTTATATTACATTAATTTTGTAATCTCTGCTTAAAACATTCTAAAATAGGAGGTTGATGTCAGAAATACAAAGTGGTAGGTGAATTTACCCAAATTGTAGTATATGTTTGGATCATTTAAAAGAGATACACTCTTATATTTAAGATCTGGTGATTTTGACATATCAATGACACCCGATAAAATAGTAGTGAGAATAACAACAATAATAGCTAAGATTTGTAAAATGCCTTCATGTGTCAGACACTGTCCTTAGCACTTTAAATATAGTAGCTTTTTAAATGTTTGCAAAAATTCCACATGAATTAGGTATTGTTACCCCTGTTTCAAATGAAAAAAAAGGGGGGGGGAGGTTAAGTAACTTGCTCAAGGTTGCACAACGAGAAGCTGCTTAATTTGTTTTTGTTATGTTGTAGTGTAGAATATTCTTTGAAGAATATTTGTATTCTAAATTCTTGGAAAAGTCATCATGCTGATTACGAGAGAGAAAGCCTTTTAACAATTTACATTTTCATATTTCTTGACAGTTTTATTGTGTCAAATATGAACATATCTATATCTGTATCTAGATAGATAGATAGATAGATAGATATAAAGAGGCAGTATGCAAATTAGCCGGGACATCATAACAGCCACAACTGACTCAGGAGGAGGCTGTGTGTGCAGATGGTGGATGTGGTGAGGAAAGCCATGGGTGGCTAGGCCTAGAGTGGACACACACACAGGGAGGCCTACCCAAGCTGCCATGGTGTGGCTGGAGCAGGCCTGAAGCGGACACATGGCAGTGCACCAGCAGTCCTGCCTCTGGGCATGAGCTGCAGAGAAAACACCTTTTCTGACCGCTCGTTGGCTAAGCTCCCTGTACACCACTCGCAGTATTCTTGGTAACTTGGGTAATAAGAGTACAAGAAGGGGATCTAGGGTTTTTCCAGCTCACTCCTAGAGGAAAAAATGAAGGTCCATTGCTTAAAGGGCTAAGAAACTTCATATCCTGTCCTAGCCAGTTTGGCTCAGTCGATAGAGCCTCAGCCTGCGGACCACAGGGTCCCGGTTCGATTCTGATTAAGGGCATGTACCTAGATTACAGGCTCCTCCCCGGCTGGGGCCCAGGTCAGGGCTCATGCAGGAGGCAACCAATCGAAGTGTCCCTCTCACTTTTATGTTTCTCTCTGTCTTTTCATCGCTCTTCCACGCTCTCTAAAAATCAATGGACAAAATATCCTCAGATGAGGATTAAAAAAAAAGAAAGAAAGAAATGTCATAGCCTGTGAAAGAGACATCTTGAAAATACCTAAAGAAAGTTGTAATTTTTTTCATGGTGAAGGGACTTGAGTTCGTGTTGATGAAAACACCTTGGCAGCTTTGGCGGCCAGCAGTGGCAGCAGCAGCGAGGTGATGGGGTGGTGTGAGTAGTCTCCTGGACTGTGAGAGGGGGCAGGGTAGGCTGAGGGACCCCCCCCTCACCCAATGCACAAATTTCTTGTACTGAGCCTCTAGTAAGTATATATATAAATACATTGATACATCATATATGCCTACATACATAAATATGACTTAACATGATTTTTTTTGATAATTTCATCATCCTTGGGGATAGATTTTTTTTTTTTTTTTTTTTTTTTTTTTTTTTTTACTCTGTGACTCCATGTGCTGGAGGTATGCTATGAGAAGGCAGTAAAATGCTTTGAACAGACTATCTCTATTGAATATGTGTGGCTCATGAAAACAATGTTAATCTTTGTACTATTTTTAGTATTTTAAAATATCTATTAAGAAATTACACAGTTGTTTGCAACAGGTGCAAAAGATGCAGAGACTAACTTTTTTCACTTTTGAATGAAATTCTATCTCCTCATTGAAAGAAGTTTAGCTCATGTTGATCAGATATGCAGATTAGTTCTTTCATATGTCTGTAATTTATAATAGTAAGAAAACAATTATATATCTAGAGGCCCAGTACACAAATTCCTGCATGGGTGGGGTCTGGCTAGCACAGCCCCAAATGGTGCAGATCAGGACTGGACATGTCAGGATGAGATGGTGGGAGATTGGCTGAACAGCCCACCCTAAGTAGGGCTGATCAGTGCCAGCCAGCTGGGGGAAGGGGCTGAGGGCAATTGGCAGGAGGGCCCGCCCCCTGATTGGTTGGAAAGGCGATCAGGGGTGAGGCCAGCCAGGGGGAGGAGCTGAAGGCCCATGGGGTAGTGGGGGCCCATTGGGGTCAGAGCCAGCCAGGGGAGGGGCTGCAGGAGGTTGGCGGGCTGGCCCCATCTCCTGATTTGGCCAGTTCGCTGGCCTCAGTGGGCATCATTCCAGCATTCCAGTCACTGGCTTTTTATATATATAGATAAAAGCAGCCTGGAAGACAGAACATCGCAAATTCTATAACCATAGGTAATAATAATAAAAATATTTTACTTGAAATTCAAATAAGTGCCTCTTTACTAAATCTCAGTCGGATTTAGAACCATGAATTTCTATAGATTTTAAATATTAAAAGTAGAACTCATTAAGACAATGACATTTAAGCAAGTGTTATAAAACATCAAATTGGTTATTTTTACAGTAACGTTAAAGCAAACCAAACTCTGAAATGTAACTAAATGTCTTTGTTCTCTAATTCCTAACTACAA